TGGTAGCCTTGAAATTTTCACGTGTACACTCGCCACCCTCACTGTCGCGCCCTCGCTGTCGCACCCCAACCCCCCCGGCTGTCACCTATACCCACTGTCGTATAGGGATTGTGCCCTAGTATGCTATTTAGGGGAGAGAGAGAAGGGGGGGTAGCGGAGGGGACAGATGCGGGGAAATATTTTCGTGCGTGTCGCTTATCCCTAGCCGCGAATACTACCTTCCTAGAACGGCTAGGCTAGTACGTGTTGCGCTAATAATTGTTTGCTACTTGCCTGTCCTCTCTCCCCTCCTACTTTCTCTCCTCTTTCTCTCCTCTTTCTTTACGACAACTCTTTACGACTACGATAGCAATAGTAATAGCGACAATAGGAAGGGATCGGGGGTGTTTGTTTGCCGGGGGGCAGGGGGCAACGTTATAATAAAACCTCTAGCTACTAGAGCGGGGGTCTATAATAGGGGGGTAGAGTTAAAGGAGCGTTCGAGTTATATTCGAGGGTAGGAGTATTCGAGTGGTTTTACCTTATTATTATTATTATTATTATTCCTTTTAACGTGCTGTGTGAGTCTGAGACTATAGTAGCACGGCTGGGGGTTTCCCTCCAACAGATGAGTAAAGCTGTACTAAATACATGTTTGAGAAGGGGGTTATGGTCATTACAGTTCTTGGGTTGTTGGAAGCAGCTAGGCTTCTGGTTATGACAAAAGAAAAGTTGTTATGTTGTAGTACGCCCCCTCGTTTCACGCCCTGTACGCTACACTTCCTCGTTCTCGTCTTCCTCGTCCTCGTCTTCCTCGTCCTCATCTTCGTTCTCATCCTCAGTTGCGCATTGTGTGTGCCATATTCTAGTGGCGATTTTGGTGGTTCGAATAAAGTCAAGTGTGGCCTCGACTCCTTTGGCGGTGTGAAGGAGGGATTTCATGGTGAACTCTCGAATATGATGCTTGAGGAGGTTGCGCTTTAGTACTTTCCTAGCATCCCCAGTTTCTGGACAGCTAAGAAGGAGGTGAGTGGGAGTCTCTTGTCTTCCACATCTACAGCGGTTATTGGTAGTGTGGCCGAGCTTGTGTAGGTATGATTTGAAGTATCCATGGCCTAGCTTAAGCTGATAAAAGGCGCTGGCTATCT